CTCTGGGGGTCCGGTCATTGCGACCTCCTCCACTGTTCTTCCTTGTCCTGCGGTCCCGTCCGGCACGCTTTCAGGTCTCTACCTCCCCTCGTTCTCTACGAACTTGGTGGCGGGTTGTGCGCTCCAGGACTCGGGTGTTCACCAGTTCACCCCTGCTTACGAGCGCGTGACACACTGCACGTGTGCTCGGACGGGTCGCCACCTGGCTACTTTCACTCGAGAGCCGGGGTCGGACCTGTACACACTGACCACTGAGTCCCCTCAGGTAGCTGCGTCTGCGTCTACGTCTGCGTCTGCGTCAGGTCAGCTGTCCGCCCCCTGCTCGTGTCGCTCTCTGGCGCATGAGACTGTCCTTTGGCACCACCGCCTTGGTCACCCGTCTGTGCAGCGCCTTCGGGCCATGCACAAACGGGACCTTGTTGCTGGGCTTCCCAGGGTGCTCCCTCCCCTTCCCGACTCGCCTGCTCCTCCCTGTATTCCCTGTGTCGAGGGGCGGCAGCGCGCCGCTCCTCACTCCTCCTCCTTTCCCCCGACGACTGCTCCCTTGCAGACGCTCCACTTGGACGTGTGGGGCCCAGCCCGCGTCCGTGGACAGGGTCAGGAGCGGTACTTCCTGCTCGTTGTTGACGACTTCTCGCGCTACACCACGGTCTTCCCCTTGCGAGCCAAGGGTGACGTACCTGATGTCTTGATCCCTTGGATCCGCAGATCTCGTCTCCAGCTCACCAGGCGTTTCCGCTCCGACTTTCCTGTCCTGCGTCTGCACTCTGACAGAGGTGGGGAGTTTTCCTCTGGCCTCCTGGAGGCCTTCTGTCAGCAGGAGGGCATTGAGCAGTTGTTCACGCTTCCGGCCTCTCCACAGCAGAATGGGGTTGCTGAGCGCCGCATTGGTCTAGTCATGGAGGTCGCTCGTACCTCCTTGAGTCATGCGGCTGCCCCCCATTTTCTGTGGCCGTTTGCGGTCCGATACGCTGCGCATCAGCTCAACCTCTGGCCCCGTGTCTCCTTGCCCGAGACTTCTCCGACACTACGTTGGACGGGAGAGGCTGGCGATGCGTCGCGTTTTCGGGTCTGGGGATCCCGAGCTTTTGTCCGCGACACGTCCGCGGACAAGCTCTCCCGTCGCGCTGTCCCCTGCGTCTTCCTTGGCTTTGTCCCGGACGCCCCTGGTTGGCAGTTCTACCACCCCACCTCGCGTCGTGTCCTGGCCTCTCAGGACGTCACTTTTGACGAGTCCGTCCCCTACTACCGCCTCTTCCCCTACCGCACTGCCCCGCTCCCCCCCCCGCCTCTCTTCCTCGCTCCAGGTGCTGAGGTACCAGACCCCCTCCCCCCTCAGGGTGCCGCTCCCTCAGGTGTGTCCCAGGTAGACCCGAGTGAGCCTGTCGAGGTAGCTGTTGACTCTCGTCCTGCGTCTGGGGGTGCTGAGCCTGGGGGTGCTGAGTCTGGGGGTGCGGAGCCTGGGGGTGTTGAGCCTGGAGGTGCGGAGCCTGGCGGTGCGGAGCCTGGAGGTGCTGAGCCTGGGGGTGCGGAGTCTGGGGGTGCTGAGTCTGGGGGTGCTGAGCCTGAGCGTGCTACACCTGGAGGAGCCCTCTCCTCCCAGCAGCTGCAGGAGAGGTACCTCGAGTACTGCCGCCTCCGGAGAGGTGCTGCTGGAGCTCGTCCCGGTACTTCCCCTCCTACCCAGGAGCTCCCCCCGTTCAGCAGATCCGAGAGTGGTACACACGCCGCTGCAGTCTTCGGAGTGGTCCTCCGGGTGCTGCGGACCCTGGGGGTGGCGCTGCTGCTGGTGCTGAGGACCCGGGCGTTGGAGCTTCTGCTGGTGCTGAGGACCCGGGCGCTGGAGCTGCTGCTGGTGCTGAGGACCCGGGCGGTGGAGCTGCTGCTGGTGCTGAGGACTCGGACGTTGGAGCTACTGCTGGAGCTGAGGACCCGGCTGGTGGAGTTGCTGCTGGTGCTGCGGACCCGGACGGTGGAGCTGCTGCTGGTGCTGGAGACCCGGACGTTGGAGCTGCTGCTGGTGCTGAGGACCCTGCCGCTGGTGTCTCTGCTGGTTCTGGAGACGCTACGAGGCCGCGACCGTACTTCGTACCACTTCTTCAGCAGGTTCTTGGTCAGGCTCCTCCTCCTTGTCCTCCTCCCTCCGTAGAGTGTCCTCCGCCTGTCCAGTCGCAGTCACAGTTCCCGCCTGCCTCGCCTCTCCCTGCTCCCTCTCCTTACACTGGTCCCACAGGAGGTCTTACAGAGCGTCGTGAGCCTGAGTCTCGTCCTACGTCGCCTGTTCGTACTGCTCGCACTGGTCATCGTGTCCCACGTGAGCGTCCTCCTCCTGTCCCTGGCACTCACTACATGACTCTGCGTCCCTCCACTGCTCCTCAGCGTGTCCCGCTACCGTCTCCTCCTGCTTCCTCTCTGCCTACTCTTCCTGATCCGGAGTCTGACTCCCGTCGTGCTGCCAGTCCCACTGTCACCCGTCTCCTCGCTACTGTTGTCACTGACCCTACCTTTGAGTCCTCTGCTGCGTCTGCTCTGGTCGCTGAGTTGATAGACTTTGCTGCCCGGTGTCGTCTAGACTACGCCACTAGCCTTGTTGCCGAGTCTGAGTCTGTCTGTCCTCCGTCCGTCGGGGGTGAGTGTGCTCTTGGCACGGACGTCCTTGAGGACAGACAGGAGGAGTTCCAGTGCTTTGCTGCTGCTTTGCCCCACCTCGTGTCCATGCTAGTTGCCCCTGAGGGAGACCCGGATGCACCAGACATCCTGACCCCGCGCACTTACGCTGAGGCGATGGCGGGTCCCTACTCCTCTCAGTGGCAGACAGCCATGGACGCAGAGATGGCTTCCTGGAAGTCCACACGCACCTACGTCGACGAGGTTCCCCCACCTGGGGCGAACATCGTCAGTGGCATGTGGATTTTCAGGGTGAAGCGGCCACCGGGTTCTCCTCCTGTCTTCAAGGCGCGCTACGTGGCTCGAGGCTTCAGTCAGCGAGAGGGAGTTGACTTCTTTCAGACCTTCTCCCCCACCCCGAAGATGACCACTCTTCGGGTGCTGCTGCACATAGCCGCTCAGCGCGACTACGAGCTTCACTCACTTGACTTCAGCACTGCTTTCTTGCAGGGCAGCCTTCACGAGGAGATCTGGCTGCGCCGCCCTCCTGGCTTCACTGGGTCGGTTCCTCCTGGTACCCAGTGGAGGCTTCAGCGGCCGGTCTACGGTCTCCGCCAGGCACCGCGTGAGTGGCACGACACACTGAGGACGACACTTGCGGCTCTTGGGTTCGCTCCCTCTACTGCTGACCCGTCACTGTTTCTACGCACAGACACCTCACTGCCGCCGTTCTACATCCTCGTGTACGTCGACGACTTGGTCTTTGCCACTGCTGACACCGCGGCACTTGCCCACGTGAAGTCGGAGCTGCAGAGGAGACACACGTGCACAGACCTGGGTGAACTGACAAGCTATCTTGGCTTGCGGATCACCCGGGACAGAGCACGGCGCACCATCACCTTGACTCAGTCACATATGGTGCAGCAGATCCTTCAGCGCTTCCGCTTCACGTACTCCTCGCCTCAGTCCACTCCTCTGCCTACCGGTCACTCGCTCTCAGCTCTGCCTTCGGATGAGTCCGTAGAGCCGAGTGGCCCGTATCCAGAGCTTGTGGGCTGCCTCATGTACCTGATGACCTGCACTCGACCTGACCTTGCATACCCTCTTAGCATCCTTGCACGCTATGTCGCTCCTGGCCGTCACAGGAAGGAGCACATGGATGCCGCTAAGAGGGTGTTGCGCTACTTGTGCAGTACGTCGGGCATGGGGCTAGTGCTTGGAGGGCGAGACCGAGTTGTACTTACTGGACACTCAGACGCTTCTTGGGCGGACGACCAGGCTACTCAGCGGTCGTCTCAGGGTTACACCTTCAGCCTTGGCTCCGGCTCAGTTTCTTGGCGTTCTACACGCTCTTCTTCTGTTCTCAGCTCCAGTTGTGAGGCTGAGATCTACGCCACAGCCATGGCTGCCCAGGAGCTACGCTGGCTGACCTACCTGCTGACCGACTTGGGTGAGCGGCCTCGTTCTCCTCCAGTGCTGTACGTCGACAACCAGGCTGCCATTGCCTTGTGTGAGGAGCACAGACTGGAGCACAGAACGAAGCACATCGCCCTGCGGTACTTCCTTGCTCGAGAGCTGCAGCAGCGCGGTCAGCTTTGTCTGCGTTACGTGGCCACTGAGGCCAACCTTGCTGATGTGTTCACCAAGGCGCTTCCGCCTTGTGACCATCAGCGCTTCTGCACTCTGCTAGGCCTTGTGCCTACTGGACCTCACTTACTTACCTCTTGACCTTGCTTGTACTGTGATCACTATATATATATCTACCTGCATGTTTACTCTTGCTAGGTTGTGATCACAGTATCTCTTGCTCTGTTATAAACCTGCATGTGAACTGGTCTTGTGACCACTAGCTTGTGCTCGGAATTTGTGTGGTATCCTTGAGATCCACCCTGAGCTTGTTGTTGCCTTGCTTTGCCTTGACTGGTCTTGTGACCCCTAGGTCTCCCCCACTTTGCCTATGGGGGTGTGTCAAACATTATATATGTTGTGTTTGTGTAGGCTGTAGTGGGTTAGCCTATAGGGGGGTCACAACATTAGGGTTTCATATTTGTACTCACAATCCTTTCTAGTTCACCATTCCAGTCCGTTATCACTGACAGAGAAGTCTAGAGCTACTGCAGCCAAGTTAACGCATCCATTATTTCCCACCAATGCGATTCGTGATCATCACGGACTGACAGCAATTATTACGTTGGCCGACGCGCTGCACATCACCGACAAACAGCCGATCACGCAGCCTTTGATAGATTTTCATAACATGTGAGTGTCATACCGCGGACTTGCAATATCAGTTGCTGGAGTTGTTGGGTCATTATCACGATGGCCAGTGTTGATGCCATACCCGTGTCTTTTGGTTCTAACAAAACCGAATCCTCTTGGTTTTGCCCTATTTTATGGCTGTCTCAACGCAGAGTGCTCAACATCCGCCGGCCCAAGTTGAGCAACGGCAAGACGTGGCTCGCGTTGGACAGCCAAAGTTACGACTACTTCTGCTCACGAGGCAAGATCGCCAGAGGTGACACGGGACCATCGATCTTCAGCTACGACTATCTGGCCATGCCAATCTATGGCGGGTAAGTGGCAGTATCACGATTAGCTAGGCTTTCCATCACTCTAATGTCTTCTGCCGTTGAAATGCCTAAGCAGTGACAAATGTTGTGTATTTTTCGTACGATGCAGCTTTCATTTCAGTGTGTTGATTGTCGTCAACCCTGGAGTTGTTGCTCTCCCGCTCGACGAGGACAGCACCACAGAGCCTGCGTGGTTGCTGCTGTACGACTCCCTCGGGATGCATGCTGCGGGGGGCAATACTTTCAAGAACATGACCAAGTAAGCTATCGTTAAGGGTTGCGTACGGCCATTCCCACACAAGCACGCAAACCTTACTGTGCTAGCTTTTGTTTCATTTAACCACACGCTAATCCACATGTTTTGCGTCACAAATTTCACCTTCTCACAGCTTGCTTGGCATGGCTTTCGAGAAGGAGCATGGCAACCGCACGATAGAAGAGATGAAGGCGAGGCTTGGGCGCTTCAAGCCACACGTCATGGAGGTGAGTTGACCAGTATAACGCTTGTCAACCATCCCGTTATGCATGTTCAGCCTTCTGTATATGCATGGTGCGTTTCCGTAACCCTTGTTTCACTCTGCAAGATGTGCCTTTGGCATAGTCCATTCTATATACCATGCCTTAACCAATGATGATCATGTACTCTATTGGTCTCATTTACGCTGCATGTGACGTTGGTGTTATGCAGGCGTGGCAGATGCCTCTGCAGCAGAACGATTATGACTGCGGCATCTTCGTATGCCAGTACATTCAAGCGCTAGTGGAGGCGTGCTTCGAAGGTGCTGAGAATGGGGTGCGGTTCAGCATGAGCCCACTGGCATACCGGCGTGTCATACGGGAGGATGTGTGTGCCCTTGCAGAAGGACGGCTGATCGGCGAGCTCACGGCAGCTGGGCATGAGATCCCTCCTGGCAATGAGATTAGGAAACCACCTGAGCTTGAGGTGATCGGTGATGAGGTGGAGGATAGGGAGTGGAGAGCGGAGATGGCAGAACGGATGCATAGGCTGGAGGTTCGCAATGAGAGTCAGGCAGTGGCTATTGCCAAGCTCGAGAGGCAATTGCGTGACCTGATGCTTTCCCGTACTCCACAGCCTCGCGTTGGCGGTGTCGCTGCAGGGGAGGGACATGGTGATGTGGGAGGGGACGCTGCAAGAGAGGGACATGTTGACGTGGGAGGGGACGCTGCAGGGGAGGGACATGGGGATGTGGGAGGGGATGCTGTAGGGGTGGGACATGGAGATGGGGGAGGGGACAACGCTGGCACACATGACAGCATGAGAGGTGCACACGGTGAGGGTCCTGTGGCTGACGTTGAGACGGGTGTAGGTGGGAATAAGAGTAAGCTTGACGGCGTTGGAGAGGGTGATATGGCGGACGGTGCGAGGAGTGACAATGAGGAGGTGGGGGGGAATGATGAAGGTGCCGGAGGCAACCCTGGTACTACCCTTGATAACAGAGGTGCAGGAGAGGTCATGGGTGCTGGGCATGGTGTGACAGCCTCGAACGCAGATGTGGATTTGGTGTCCGCCCAGAGCACAGGGGCTGAGACAACGAGTCGCAACACTGCGCGTGGTCGAGCTCCTAGCTCTGGTTATACCGGCATAAGCAAACGGGAAGGTAGGTGGGCAGCACGGCTGTGCGTAGATAGCGCTAAGAGTAAGTTTTTAGCGCTGGGACGGTATACGGAGATCTTGGATGCCGCAAAAGCATATGCGGCAGCCGCCCACATTTGCCGACCGTCCCTCTCCAACTCAATGATGGTGGAGTTGAGCGTGGAGGAGAGGCGGTGCTTGGAGGGACTGACGGCGCATGGGGTTGAGAGGTTAGTGGAGGCCAAGCGATGGGCAGAGTGGAGGAACTGGCGAGAAGTGCTCGGCAGCTTCCCTGAGCCTTCCATCCCAACGCCAGCAGAAGTTCACACACAGGCTCCACCTCCTTTTTCCCACCACCACCCTGGAGCCACGCTTGGCAACTACCACCCGCCAGCCGCCGCCTTCGCGGGACACGCCGGTGCAACCCCAAACCCCGGTGCATGGCAGCCGTACACCCAGAGCCACCCTCCTCCCAACCTCCATTTTCTATCCCAGCAGTTTGCTTTCAACCAAATCCCAATCCATCAATTCAGCCAGGTGAAAGCCCCTATCGCTGTACACCCTACCCCTTCAGTACCCATCACTCCCAACCCTGCAGGCCATGCCGCTTCACATAACACGGCACCCCATCCCCATGTCCTACCAACACCACCATCCGTTGCACCCAGCATGGCACATCCAGTATCCGACCCACAAGCCCAACAAGTCCGGCCCGCTGAGCAAACTGGTCAGGCCAGGGTAGATGGCATGACATATTCACAGTCGACTTCTCCCAATAAGCCCAACCCCACGTCCCACGGCTCCATATTGGCAAGCGAGCCAGCAACAGGTGAGATCTGTTGTTGTGTAATAGTGCTTGTTGATATGCCGTAGTTTCAATAAACCATGCACTAATCTAATGAACTTGGATCTTCACCTGTGCAGGGGCAGCGGACGACATCATTGATGCCTTTCTTGGTCAAGCTGCACAATAACTGATGAGACGTATGGTCAGCATGACATTGCGTGATCCGTATCACATCAAATCTACGTTACATTATTGTAGGCATGCGTAGAGGTCGACATGCCTAGAGATACAAAAAACCCTCTGACTGCTACATGAACGGAACACACAGTGTTACATAGGTATAATGGGAAAACGCCGGTAGTGACAAAGTCTCTCAAATTTATTAATATAGTTTTATATCAATAAAACATATCACACAAACATGCGAGCATCACATATGCGCGCTCATATAGGTAAATGTGCGGTTTTATATGAGCGCGATTTTACATGACCGCGTCTGATTGGACGCGCAAGGTCAAAAAGTGCTTCGCGCATAAAGTTGACGAATCAGGCGCACTTTGTATATTGTTCCCTGTATGGACAGCCGTGCAACTGAGTATATGATCGGGGAATCATATCACTATGCGCGGATTGGTCACGATTAGGACCGAAAATGAGCGCGACTGTTCGCCAAAATGATCGTGACGTGGCCGCCCTCGCGCACGTCACCCAGCCAAAATTTTCGGGCGGAAAATTGTACGCCACTTTTTCGCGGGAAAAGACACTTTCGATGTAAGAATTTCAAGGCTAGAAACCCTTGCTGGGTTATGTGCCGTATAAAAAAAAGGCCATAGGAAACCTCTGGCAAGACCACTCGAGCAATTATCATCAAATTGTCTGACCACGGTAGCAATTCGAGGCCACGTGTGCAACGGCAAATCACCAAACACGGGTCTGGAGAAATTCTCTCACATTTAGCTGATACAGAGGACAGCTCACAGCAACTCCCCACCACCTCGGCTTGTTTCGCACCATTTCGTTCAGCCACAGCAAACCACATAATGGCGAAAGCGAAAACAAGGGTACAGTATCTGGAACCTCCGCCGCACAATCCCCCGTTGGCGCATCGGGTACCAGGAATGTTGAGGATTGCGAAAAGAAAACATGTCGCGAAGCTTGTGCGAATTGCACCTTCGCCAGAACGAAACGGGAGCGACAGTCGCGACACGCAAGAGTGACGCAGCAAAGCACGATGCACCAAGACACACAGGGCTGACCTTCAAGCCCTAGGGATTGCCCCGCCATGGTTGCTCACGTCGGCTCTCCAGAAAGGTGGGCATGAATGAGTGAATTGTGTGGCACAAAACCCATGCGTGTAAGTCGGCACTCAAGATAAAGTGCTCTCGTTTGGGTTGTGCCTGGAACATTACCGAGTGGAAGCTGCCGTTGGGAGGATCCGCATCTGATTAGTCCGAGGCCGAGCAGCTGGCGGAGAAAGAAGCTTTACTTGCTTGCTTCTCCTAGCTGCCAAGTCTCGGCTCTCTCGGTGCGCACTTACAGTTTCCTCGCAATGGCGGGCGTCCTACGGCAAGGACTCTCCTCTCCTCGCATACCGACCGACAATATGCAAACGCAGTCGTCGCGGTATAGTTCGTTGGCCCGTCCGTCGGAACCAATACGAGGCAGCGCGGTTCCAGCGGTAGCGCAGTCCCTAGCAAAGGCGTCGCGGCCGTCGCATTCCGCCAGGCGGAGCGTATTTCCCGCGCTGACCCGTCGACGGCTCACTACCAGGTGTGCAGCCGTCCTGGAAGCACGCACTCTCCGCCTGTGTGCAGCGCCGTGCAGCACTCCTTGCAATCCATCTCAAGCGTGGAAAGCTTCACTGCCATTCCTTACCCGCTCGCTCAAAAATCAAGCCCCACGCACCCGTTGCACAAAAGTCAAGTCTCGTCGCCTTATTCCTCCTTGCCATATCGTCCCTTCGTTCGCTTCCCCCGCCTTCCCGCCCTCCCTTCAGAAGAACGCCCGCTAGCAGCACCAGACTCCAGGTAATACCTCACTGAATGATAATGGCCTTATTCGTAAGAGGCATCTTTTGTTCCAGAATATTATTTTAGGTGTTGCAATCACTTTTTTCCAAGGCATTCGGTTGCGCGTTGGTCTGACAGAGTATCTGAGCCGTTGCGTTGACGGACCTCGCAGGTGGTCGCCGCCGGTTCCGCCGTCTCCGCCGACGTCGCAAACGGCGCAGTCCGCGACGCGCAATCGAGTAAGCACGCAGGCACACAGCTCAACGCACCGTTCCCGGTTGGGTGCAATTTCCGTTCGAAATCATGCAGAAAACGGAAATTAGAATAGAAAGCATCGAGCAAGTTCGAACGACGGACCGCTCCCCGTTTCTTATGCGCCGCGTGCTACTCGTGCCGTAACACAAAAGCCGCGTGTTTCTCGTCCCTGATACGAACGAACGGCAGGGAGCGCGTTACCCGCGTCGGCGTGGGCGGCGGTGACGGAGGAGGTGGCGGTGGGGTCGCTGGCCGTCAGCAGCAGCGCCGCCGCCGTGGCGGCGCTCGCGAGGGACGCGCGCATCACCGCCGTCGTCGTTCTCGAGGTGCGCGCTCGCGCCACTCCGTGCTTGCACGTGGGAGTTTAACAGAGCGGCAGCAGTAGCAGCTAACGTCAGTTAGGGTCCATTCTTGCCGATTTTTTCCAAGTCATGAACGGCGTGATCCGTGCGTGTAACTGTGTGCTTGTGTGAGCGTGCGCGGTGCAGGAGGAGGGGAGCTACAGCGCGCGGGGAACGGGGTGGGAGGAGGAGAAGCGCGCGCTGCAGGACGCGGGGCTGGTGGCCGTGTGGGTGCCCATTCGCGAGAGCGACTCCGCCGAACAGGTGCGACGGGGGCGGTGGCTGTTTGGTACCTGTTGTGCTCGTAATGGTGGGTGTTGTGCTCGTAATGGTGGGTGTTGTGCTCGTAATGGTGGGTGTTGTGCTCGTAATGGTGGGTGTTGTGCTCGTAATGGTGGGTGTTGTGCTCGTAATGGTGGGTGTTGTGCTCGTAATGGTGGGTGTTGTGCTCGTAATGGTGGGTGTTGTGCTCGTAATGGTGGGTGTTGTGCTCGTAATGGTGGGTGTTGTGCTCGTAATGGTGGGTGTTGTGCTCGTAATGGTGGGTGTTGTGCTCGTAATGGTGGGTGTTGTGCTCGTAATGGTGGGTGTTGTGCTCGTAATGGTGGGTGTTGTGCTCGTAATGGTGGGTGTTGTGCCGTGCACATGCATGCCTTGTCACATCCGTCCTCTCAGGCCATACTGCACCCATCCGCTTGACTGAACCCAATCTCATCCCACGCCGCCCCTGTGCAGGCAGCCATGCTACCACAGGCAGTGCGGGTGGTGGCAGCGCTGGCAGCCATGGGCCACAGGGTGCTGCTGCGCTGCCCCTCTGCCGCCCGCCTCTCTCCACTCATTGCCCTCGGGTGTGTCCTCTGCCTCTCACACACCCTCCGCCCCACCAGCCTCTGTTTAACAATGCCTCACTCGCTCACCATCACCCACCCTCGTTCACTCGCTCACCATCACCCACTCTCGTTCACTCGCTCACCATCACCCACTCTCGTTCACTCGCTCACCATCACCCACTCTCGTTCACTCGCTCACCATCACCCACTCTCGTTCACGCGCTCGCTCTCATCCTCAGTTGCTGCTCTTGCTTGTGCTGTTGTTGCCACGTTGCGTCCCGTGCACCGTAATGAGCCTGGCAGGTACCTGGTGCTGGCCAAGGGCATGCCTGTGAGCGAGGCACTGGCGGTGGTGAAGGGGGTCAAGCCCAACGCCGACCCGCCTGTCAACGTGCTCATGGATGTAAGCTGCCCACCCGTGCACTCTGCCCCCCTCGCAAGCTGGCCCGTTCTCCTCTTCCCACTCCCCATCCTCCCACTCTCTGCTCCTCATTCCCCTTCCCCTCATCCCTTCTCCCCTCTTTCCATTCTTCCTGCCCATTCCCCCCTTCCCTGCAACCATCCGCCAGGCGAGGGAGAGGCTGCTAGCGGGGAATGACGTCGAGGGTGATAACGATAGCAGAGGCCATCTATCACACGCGCTGCACCACCTTCCGTTCATTCCTTTCCGTCCCCATTCTCCCACCCTCCACTCCTCAATTCCCTTCCCCTCCCTTCACCCACCAGGCGAGGGAGAGGCTGCTAGCGGGAATGACGTCGCGGGTGATAACGATAGCGGAGGCCATCTATCACACGCGCTGCACCACGGGGCAGCCGGGCGACTCACAGTCCGATTGGGCGGTGCGTTGCTCTCCCTGCCTCCGCTTCCTCGCCCTCTCCTGCCCTGCCATGTCATGTCATGCCGTGCCGTGTTGTCCACATGGTTGCTGGTTGCTGTTATGTGTTGTGCCGTGTTCTCCCACCGCCATCACCGCCATCGCCCCGATCATCCCCATCCCCATCGGTTTCCCCCATCAATTTCCCCATCAGTTTCCCCCATCAGTTTCCCCCATCAGTTTCCCCATCAGTTTCCCATCAGTTTCCCCCATCAGTTTCCCCCATCATTCACCCCCATCACCCCCATCACCCCATTCACCCCCATCACCCCCCTTCACCCCCATCACCCCCTTCACCCCCATCACCCCCCATCACCCCACCCCATCACCCCCTCACCCCCATCAACCCCCTTCACCCCCACCCCTTCACCCCCTCACCCCTTCTTCACCCCTTCCCCATCACCCCCTTCACCCCATCACCCCCTCACCCCCTTCACCCCCATCACCCCCTTCACCCCCATCACCCCCCTTCACCCCCATCACCCCCTTCACCCCCATCACCCCCTTCACCCCCATCACCCCCTTCACCCCCATCACCCCCTTCACCCCCATCACCCCCATCACCCCCATCACCCATCACCCCATCACCCCCTTCACCCCCATCACCCCCCCCTCACCCCCATCACCCACCCCCTTCACCCCCATCACCCCCCCTTCACCCCCATCACCCCCATCACCCCCTTCACCCCCATCCACCCCCCTTCACCCCCTCACCCCCCTTCACCCCCATCACCCCTTCACCCCCTTCACCCCCTTCACCCCCCTTCACCCCCTTCACCCCCTTCACCCCCTTCACCCCCATCACCCCCATCACCCCCCCATCACCCCCATCACCCCCATCACCCCCATCACCCCATCACCCCCATCACCCCCCATCACCCCCATCACCCCCATCACCCCCATCACCCCCTTCACCCCCATCACCCCCATCACATCACCTGCCCCACGGGCACCAGCGCAATCCTTGCACTTTCTGCCCTTGTATGCATCCTATCCCTCCTTTCACCTGCTCGCCCCCCTCCTCTCCCCCCTCACGTCTGCTATCCCCGCTCGTGTGGTGTGTTCCCTTATTCAACTGCTCCCCCCCGCTCACAGCAAGCGCTAGAGCAGTGTTTGCTCAGGGAGCTGTGTGACAAGGAGCCTCTTCTCCCACGCACGCATTCTCCGCCCTGATGTCATCTCTGCTCGCCCCCCGCCCCGTCCCCATCACAGCAAGCGCAAGAGCAGTGCTCTCGGGAGCTCTTTGACAAGTGGCTCCTCGCTGATGTCAGCTTTGCCCGCTCTGTTGCTCAGGTGGGTGTGCTTTGTTGCTCAGGTGGGTGTGCTTTGTTGCTCAGGCGGCTTTCCAGCTCACGTCTGTTGTTCGTTATCAGGCGAGCAGTGGCCACATTGCAATCCGAAAAGCTTCTCTTCTGCTCCCAGATTCCCTAGTTTTCCCTCCTGCCATAACTACCTTGTGTGATCATCCCTCCCTCCATGTCGCCCTCCCTCCGTGTCTCCCTCCCTCCGTGTGCCCCTTACCCTCCGTGTGCCCCTTACCCTCCCCCCACCCCGCTTTCCTTGCTCCAGTCCGCGGAGCACCAAGTGAGGACCAAGGCACAGGAGGCCGATGCAGCAGCAGCAGCAGCAGCAGCAACAGCGAACAGCAGAGGAGGAGCAGGGCGAGAGGGCAGCAGACCCCCTGAAGGCCCTTTTTGACCCGGCTTCCTGGTTACCAAAGTCAGATTCAGACCACACCAGCAACGGCGCCAGCAACGCCAGTGACAGCAGCAGCAGCATCGGCGAATCAAGCAACGGTGGCAGCAGCGCGATAGGCGGCGATTACGATGTTACCACGGGCATGAAAGTTCCCTCTCTTCCGCCTGACGCTCCACCTGAGCTTCAGAAAGCGAATGCCAGGGTGGAATCCCTCTCCGCCCAGCTGGCGGAGGCGCGTGAGTGGCTCGCTGAGCTGGAGGCGTCCAGCAGCCAGGTCCTCGCTGACGTGGCATCACGGACGGCTGAGATTGAAGCGCTGAAACGCAGAGAGGCGCTCTGGGAGGAGGAGTTGGAGGCAGCCAAGGTGAAAGAGACGGCCATGAGGGAGGAACTGAGAGTGAAACAGACTGGGGGGGTGCAGCAGGTGCGTGCATTGGGTGAGGTGGAGGAGGAAATTTCAGCTCTGAAATTAAAGGTGGCAGAGGGAGAGGCGAGGAACGCCGAGGTGGAAAGAGAAATTGGGGAGCTTCGGGCACAGGTGGAGGAGGCAAAGGGACAGCTGAGGAGTGAACGAGCAGCAGCGGAGGAGGCGGAGGAGAGAGTAGTAGCGGCGAATGATAAAGTGCGGGAGGAGGTGGAGCGGGCGGCACGGGCACGGGCGGCAGCGCGGGCGGCGGCGGAGGAGCGGAGGGCGGTGGTGCAGGAGCTGGCGGTGGTGCGGACAGGACAAAAGGAGGCGGCGGCGCGGGCAGCGGCGGAGAGAATAGAGGAGCTGCAGGTGCAGGCAGGGCTGCTGGCAGAACGGGTTAAGCAGGCTGAGGTGGTTAGCACCGAGGCTGACAGCCGTGCTGGCGCCCTGGAAGCACAGGTGAGAAGGGGGGGGGGGGAGATGTGCAGTGTGGATGGAAGGGGAGGGGAGGGGAGGGGAGTGGAGGAAGGTGGATGGAGGATGTGGAAGTATCGTTTGCAACAAACGTGGTGAAATGAAAGAAGCAAATATCTTTGCTTTGCCATATAATGCAATCTCTCCCAATCACTCCCGACTCCCCTCTTCCCAACCCACTCCCCTTTCCTTCTCAGATGGCGGTGTTGGTGTCACGCACGGCAGCAGCGCAGCAGAGAGCAAGCGCAGCAGCGGCGCGAGTGACATTCCTGAGTGGGCGATTCAACTCGCTTGAGATGACCGCTGCTGAGGCTGCTCGCAGGGCGGAGAGGGTGGAGAGCGAGGTGGTTCACCTGCGGGGTAGGGACGCTGACGCTGCTGCTGCCGTGGCTTCCAATACCGAGGCTATCAGCCGCTTGTCGCTGGAGGTAAGGTGCTTCTTTCCAGATATTCCTTTCCTGCTCTCTCTCTTGCCCTCCCCACTTTGCACTTCTTACACCACTGCCCACCAACTTGTTTCACTCCCCCCTTCCATTCGCTTCCCTCGCACCCACCAGGCCATGCATCTCAAGGACAGTGAAGCGGCTCAAGCCAAGCGCGAGGCCGCCCTGTTAGTGCAACTGCCGGCAGCGCAGCAGCAGGGCGAGGAGCTGCGAGCGCAGGCCGCCGCCTTCTCCGTCCAGCTGGCAGCCATGGCCCGCCACGTCACCCGGCTCAAAGCTGAGCTGGACTGGGTGGACGCGCACGGGCGGAGGCGCCAGGCAGAGGAGGAGCAGCACGGCAGAGACGGGGAAGAAGCAGGGCGGCACTGGAACCTGTCTTTGAACACGGACCCTTCCTCTCTCAGCACCCTCAGCCCTCTGGGGCCTCTCAATCCCCTCGCTGCGCTGGCGCCACTGGCAGCGGTGGCGGATGCTGCACAGGGTGTGGCGGGTGCAGTGGGGTTGGAGTTGGGTGGAGGAGGGGGAGGAGATGTGGAGGGGAATGAGGAGTGGGTGCGGCGGGAGGTGGGCGCGCAGGGAGCAGTGGTGGCAGCAGAGAGTGAGCTGGAGGGGCAGATAGAGGACGTGGATGACCCCCTGGAGCTGCTCAAGTGAGTGTGTGGTGGGATCAGGATGCCACACAGATCCATCATGCCACACAGATCCATCATGCCACACAGATCCATCATGCCACACAGATCCATCATGCCACACAGATCCATCATGCCACACAGATCCATCATGCCACACAGATCCATCATGCCACACAGATCCATCATGCCACACAGATCCATCATGCCACACAGATCCATCATGCCACATTCCCACCAGACCCCACCCCATCCACCACCCCATGCTCCGACCCCCACCCCATCCCATCCCATGCCATGCCATCCCCACCCACCACAGGGTACTAATGGACCGGTTATCAGAGGAGGCATCAGCCATCACGCAGCGTAGCGCCCACCTGGTGTCGGAGGCCCAGCAGCTGAGGGAGGCGCTGGACGCACAGCTGGCGGAGCAGGACGCTGCCTGCCAGGTGGACGGGCGGCCGCTGCGGGAGGTGGTGGGGGAGGTGGAGCAGCAGGCGCAGCAGCAGCAGGAGGAGCTGCTGCAGCAGGCGGGCACGCTGCAGTGGGCGCTCGGGGGGTCGCTGGCGCTGGCTGTGGTGGCGCCGCTGGCCATTTACAACAGCTACTTCTCCGAGACGGCCCGATCCAACCAGGTCCGTGCGCCTCTGTGCGTTAACGAGTACCGCAGCCATTCTGCCGTGCTTCAGTGCACGCTCGCTCCTTCCTTGATGATTGCCGTCCCTTTCATTTCCAGATGGACCTCCCAAGGGGTCTGCTAGGTGTTGAAGCCAGTGCACGCCAGCAGCAATCCTTCCTCTTTCCGTTGCTCCGCCTCGCCCCCCAACCCTCTTCTTCCCGGCAGATCAACACCCTGTCGGCCCAGCTGGACGCAGCCACACAGGCCAGCAGGGCACTGGAGCAGGTAGCCGGGGAGACAGAGGCAGAGAGCGTAGAGGCAATGGCGCGGCTACACGCCATGGAAGCAGAGGTGGAGGCACAGCGCGCTGCCGTTACGCGGTTACAATCGCTCGTTCCCCTCGTGGCTCCCTCTGTGGAGTCCGACGAGGCTGCCCGGTTCTGCCAGAATGTTCCGCAGGAGTTCCAGTCACCAATCACGGAGCAGATTTGTGACGGGCTGAGGCAGAGTGGCAGGGTGGAGGCTAAACGGGGTGATGGTTCGTCGGGGGGCAATGGGGCAGCGCCAGGAGGGCGGTTTGGGTTCACCAACCCTTTCAATCTTGGCTGGAAGCGGTGGTGACATTTTAAAGCAGTGTTTTTGGTTTTGATACGGTATAATGCAATATGGGGCTATACCTGCTTGGTGAAGGTGGGAATCGATTGCATGACTACTGTTACCGTATGTACAATCGGCACTGCATGTATGTCGGTGAAGATAGGTCTGTTGAAACTCCTGCTCCAGGCTGGGCCTGTTTCTTTACTAAGTCAGCAGGCCCCCACGTGTACTCTTCACCTCCCCTGGCAAATCACATCACATATGGTAGTTGTCAATCTAGCTTCCCTACAGGCTGAACATCTTAGTTCAGGTCAGGGGCTTGTTCTAAAGTGAGCCACATACATACGGTATGTCTTATTACTAACCTGTCAAATCGATCTAGCCCAGTCCTACGTGAATTTGTGCCTCTCAGGTTGGCAGCCTACGAAAGTGCACCAATTTTTTGCTAGAGCATTGCATTGCATATCTTTAAAAAGTTACAGCATAACAATAAGCACCGAGAGAAACAGGAGCGGGCATTGATGCCAAGACAGCTGACAAAATCAACGGAGCTCCCAGCAGCATGCTGGAAGGCTGCCTGTCCATGCAAGCTAGGAAAGGCAGCAGCAAAACATGGCGGTGCTATGTGCCCGCAGGAACCCAAAAGCTTCAATACACCTCCGGCAGAACCGCTAGTGGTGAGTTGCACTAGCTACTGATGCCAATTGAACAAATGCTTGCTGCATGTGCGTCGCGCTGGACCCGTCTGATGGGTGGGAGGGAGAGCAGCACAGTGATGTGGAGAGGTAACCCAGCTGTGCCACGGTGTGGTGTGGTGACAGCACGGCAAGGGAGAGTGGAGGCCACGGCAAGCTGGCGACAGCAGCGCTAGATGGGCTTTAGAAGATGGCAGGCGGAGAGGCACGGCACGAGGGACGTGCGTGGGCATGGCTAGCCCTGTCAGCCACACCCATGACTCGGTGCAGTGTGGTGCTGGCATGGAAAAGAGGGGCGCAGGCTCCGGTGTGTGGCGGGCAGGCTAGCTGCGAGTGTGGGGAGAAAGAGGAGACAAGAGCTGCTGCTGTCATGATTCTATCACAACTTGCTGGATCGAGCAAGCCAGTGTGGCAGCAGGCAGTGGAAGGTCAGTGAAGACAGATAAGCAGTCGGGGCGAGACTTGAGCCGCGATCACGGCGATGAGCGCAGTCACTGCGCGTTGCAATCATGTGTGTGTGAGTCCAGTCACTGCGGCAGCAAGCACCGGTCGTTGAGGCGTCTCAGCAGCACGAGGTGCGGCGCCGTGCCGTGAGCGCGCCCGCAGCGCAGGCAGAAGTGGCTGGCCTCGTTGGGGCACGGGCGGCGCCCGCGGCCGAAGTGGCAGCAGCCCGTCTGGTAGAACTGCCGGCACCCGCCGTACTCGTCCGGCGCGTCCAACAGCGCCGCGTCCGCCGCGGGCAGCCCGCGGCGCGCCTCCGCCTTGAGGTCGTGCTGCAGTGCTGCAATGGCGAAGTCCTCCAGATGCACCAGCTGATGGGGGGATAAGGGGCGCGGGGGAGCGGGGAAGCGAAGAAGGGGGCGAGGTGGGGGAAGACATGGGGGGAGAAGGGGAGAAGAATGAGGAGCGGATGGATGGGCGATTTGAACAGGAGTGGAGGGGAGGGCCGACGATCAGATCATGCAGTGAAGCGGAAGCAGAGTGGTCGAGAATGCAGGGAGATAAGGGCGGCATCAGGGGGAAGTGTGGCGCGCGCAACATACGTCGAGCGCGTGGACGGCCTTCACCATGCGGCGCAGCTGAGTGGCCTCCGCCGCCTGCCGCACCACCACGCACTGCGTCCCCTCCAGCTCCCGCCGCAGCCGCGCCGCCTGCCCCGCCTGCTGCGCCGCCACCTCTCCCGCGCCCGCCAGCTCCCCGCGCAGGCACGCCACCTCCGCCGCTAGCTGCAGGTGCGCGTCTCCCGCGGAATCCAGCTCGCGTCGCAGGCGCACCACCTGCCGCGCATGCTCCCCGCACGCGCGCTGCATCTGCGCCATCTCTAGTTGCGCCATCGCCGCCGCCTGCTGCGCCTCCGCTGCAGCGGCCTCCGCCCGCCGCAGGGCCTGCTGAAGTCGCTCCACCTCCCCCGTATGTGTCGCATGAACCTCTTGTGTCGCATGTGTCGCATGCGCCACGCCCGCCGCAGCCGCCTCGTCCACCGTGCCGCCAACTGCGCGGGGAAGCGCATCAAGAATCCCCTCCCTGCCTGCTGCTTCCCCCGAATCTGCCTTTCCGCTTCCATCCGCCGCTGCGCCAGCCTCGTCCTTCGCGCCATCCGCGGGGGCCAACGTCGCAGGCGAGGACACGTACCAAGGGTTGTCGGCAGGAAGCGAGTCGTGCGACAAATCTGCAGTCACATGGCCGGCGAAAGACGACGAAACGGACGACACGAACGAAGCAGGCGACGTCGGACTCGATCCCGACGATGCAGCGTGTGTCGCCTTTTCCCCGGGATAAGGGACCAAGCTCGCGCTGCGACGACCGGTGCTGCTGCTGTCGCCGTCCGCCGAACACGGCGCAGATGGTGCACACTGGGGAGCGGAAACCGCGGCGGAAGTCAGGGCGCGGAGAGACCCCGCGGAGGCGGCGTGGGGGAGTGAAGGGCGCGCGGGAGGGTCAGGCGGGGACTGCGAGCGGAGAGAGAGCGAGAGCGCGGAGAGAGAGGTCTCGAGGGCGAGCGAGGGGAAGGCGAAGGCGGACGACGTGAAGGGCGCGGAAGGCAAGCTTGGCGGAAGCACCGACAGCCCCGGGAGGGCTTGGCCTTGCGCGTGGTGCGGGAGAGAAGGGGAGAATGCGCGGTCCGGCAGATTAGAGGGATGCGCAGGATTAGCGAGCGCGGAGAACGCGGAGGAGAGGTGGGAGGGGAGCTGCGGAGGGGGCTGAGCGACAGAGTGTTGCCACGACCCCGCGTCGTGTGCGACACTGTCGCACGGTGCGGCGCTCTGCCACGTGTCACGGGGATAAGACATCTCCGCCTGTAGCGGAGGCCGCGCAAGGTACGTTTCCCATGGCGGCATTGCGGTGGCCGTTCGGGCGGCGGAAAGGCGGAGGGACAGGCGGGATGCGAGCGAAGCTGCGGTGATGCCAGGAACGAGGGGGCAAGCGAGCGAAGCGGTACGCGGGAGATATCGATAGACAAGAGCGAATCTGATGTGATTGGACGAGTGGCTGTTGGGACACCGCAAGGCTGGTCAGGAATAGATTCCCAATGATGCGAGGCGTTATGTAGTGCCGTGCCACACTTGAGCTGGCCTTCCAGTTTCGCTGCTCGCAGAGAGTTGAAAGTTCTGCGCGCTGCTGTGGGGTAAGGTATGGCATATGCCCTCCATCACCTGCTATTTTAGCAGCCAATCACAGCGCACACCCCGTCATAGGGGGGAAAGCGGAAAAATCACTAAACTCGACGGTTTTCGGATTCGTTTCAAATCGGTCGACCACTCGTGCTCCACGTCAGCACTATTTCGAATTCCAAAACTCCGATCGACCCTACATTAGATTACGCGGTATAGTGTAATGTTTATCGGTTGGTGTTGAGTAGGTACGTAACTTTGTCGAAGTAAGTTTGGTTTAGGCTCACGTGCTGGCCCGCATGATATCGTTTTTGTCGTGGTGTTGGTCTGCACAGTACATACCGAGGTGTCGTGTAGGTTGGATATATGTTCCAGTGCCTGCGTAAGCAGGCAGTGCAATCGAGTCAGCAAGCTGACCGCGGGCAAGAAAAAAAACTAAAACCCATTCGGAAGACATGTCATTCGAGGGAGCCTCAACCCATAAAATTTAGGGTTGAGGCTCCCGAATGGCATGCCGTAAGCCATGGGGTTTATTATTTTGCCCGCGGTCAGCATGCTGACTCACTCGGTAGCGCCACCACCCACAAACCCACGAATTTCGAAAAGCCCTAACGCAGTCGTACCACTTGCGTCAGGGTGACCAATTCGTGCTTGCAAGTGTAGAAAAAGGGTCGGTCGATCGGAGTTTTGGAATTCTAATTTGAGCTGACGTGGTGCACGAGTGGTCGACCGATTTGACACAAATCCGAAAACCGTCGAGTCGCGTGATTTTTCCGGGGAAAGCAGCTTCCTTGGGTGGTGGGACTGAGCAGGGTGGTGAATGGTGAGGGATACGATCGAGCTGGATAGAATGGGGAGGGATGAGGGCTCCAGTCCAGCTCCGTGGATGAGTGGTTGGGAGTGAGCTACGAGGGGCAGCCATGGATGTCGCCTGAGCTGATCATGGGGGTGGAGCCTGCAACGAGTGAGGCGAACGCAGCCACCACCAGTCGTGGTGCTTCACGACCATCGCCAGCTCTGTGCGACATCATCGCGAAGACTTCGCAAAAAGGCTTTACTTTTCGCCTGAGGTGATTGCACAGCTGGTATTCGCGACAGTGACAAGGCATTCTCTGTTCCGAAAAACTGGTGGCTCGTGCGAGGGAGGTTTGCTCAGCCTGCACATCCGCCACTCGCCCACTGTGTGGTGTGGAGCCGCCTTCTCGCATGACATCCACAATGTGCGACCGATTCATGGTCATCGCGACGTGCTTCCCCGTCGCACAGTCGTACAACCATTCAGCACACCTCTAGACGAGAGGTCCTTTCTCAACGTTACCCATCTCCGCCAGACAAAAAGCGGGATGCGAAACGCTTGCCGAACTTCTTGGAGCGACAGATGGGATCATGCGAGGCGCGGAAGTCAGGTGTGTGAAAGAGAGGAGAGAGTTGAGAACAGAGGGCGGATTGGTGGATCGGAAAAAGTGCGGATAACGCTCCACCAACTGAGGTTGCCTGGTCACCACAAATTCACACTCGCTGCGGTGGCGAGCGTACGGCCATCCAGCGAACTTTAGCATCATAACCAGCCCTTTCCACGACGAGTGATGCGTTTTGGAGAGGCCCGCTACTGCGTATTCACCTAGAAAAATATATATATATATATATATTCCGAGTTGAGAACATACCAACCTGCTTAGCCAAGTTCGCAGTGTTGCAGTACATAACTCTGCATCAA